CAATAGAACTTTCCTAAAAGGATGCTGATGTCATGTCATGTCATGTCATATGGAAGTGAAGTGAAGCTATATCTATCTATGTACATAAGTATATATAATTATTGAGTTGTACATATGTACATATGTACATAAAGTTATTGCAACTCATATTTGAACTAAATCATTTATTTCACATTATATAAAAAGCAATAGGGAAAGCTTTTTGTCTCTTTATATCCAAAGACGAAACAAAATCTCGCTATCTGTTCCGGCACGTGCTACTATTTATTTGCTAATATCTGTTAAGCAGCAGCATTTACACTAACACAAGTGCTATCAAAATGTTAGCCAAAAACTGAAGACTGTAATGTGCGTGTTTGTGTAGGTAATCGAAAAGCATGCATACATATATTTACATACATACATACATGCATGCATATGTATGTGTACGTAGCTTTACTTTAAAATACTAGAGTTGCTCTTAGAACCTTCTCGTTGGCTAGCGAAAGAGCTTTCTAATCACGCATAAAGCTGCTCCTAAGCCCACAACATACACACGCACACAAGAAGCGTATGTAAATATACATGCACGAGCATGCAAGCTCTGCAAGTGCAACGCATGCACCACCTTACTGTTTAATGCCTAGCAAAAGTAATTTAACTAAAGGTGTAGCTTTTTTTTTTTTTGTTGTTGTTGTTGTTTTTTATTAAAACAAAAGCCTAGCATCGCTTTAAAACCACTGTGCGGTGACGAAGCGCCAACCAATGAGTGTATGTGGATGAGGGTTTGGTGAGTAGGGAAAGACGCGAAAGCACGAGCGCTCCCCGCATGCTCTCAGCTGCCTTTCGTGTCTGTATATATGCATGTATGTATGTATACATGTGTGTATATGTATGCGCGCCTGTGGTGAGCTTAGGCTTGCCTTGGCTAAGGCGAATTGTTGCGTGCGACGCCGACGCGAACAGAGTCCTGCTGCTGCTGCTGCTGCTGTTGCTGTTGCTGCTTTGGAGCTTTTTTCATTGGATTGCGTTTGTATGGGTGCCCGCAACAGTAAAAGTCAATTGACCCGAAACTGTTGTAAATGTAAATATATACATGCGAATGCAGCAGCACGGGCAGATTTGCTTTTTATTTGAATTTCACTTACAGACACAAATAGGAGACATGCACATAATCATGTGCATGTGTGTGTGCTCATAGAGAATGTATTTTTGTGTTTTTCAGATTTGTATAAATCACAGAGAAAACTCTGTTGGCTTAACTAATGTATTTTTTGTTTTGTTTTGTAAAGCATATGTATGCATGTATGCATATACAGCTTGTATGTATGTATGCATATACGAAATGTATTTCTTAAACGTATTCAGTACTTCTAGATGCTGGCCTTTGTTGTTGTTGTAGTAGTTGTTCCCGCTATTATTAGCGCAATGTGAGTACAAAAACAAAAGCCGCAGCAGAAGCAGCAAAAACAACGCTCGCCGTTTGTTTTATTTTTGTTTTTTGTTTTTTGTTTTTGTTTTTGTTTTGCTCTCTATTGTATTTGATATTCCGCAATTGTTGCGCCGCGTCATGCCTAACTTTTCAATCTATTTATGCTTTATTTTCATTTTCATTTTTCTTTTCAATTATTTTGCACGTTCAGTGCGCTCGCTCTCACCACAATACGCTCTCTCACTCACTGCCCCTCTCTCGCCCGCTCTCTGTTACGCTCCCACGCACGAATGCATGATGCGACTGCGACTGCGACAGCTCCACCATGCACTCTGCATTTGCCTCCAGTGTCAGCAGTTGTCATAAGAGCGCAAATTGCTAATTGTTATAATATGCATGTAATTAACTTATGTGCAATTTTCACCTGTACGCTAGTTAAGTGCTTCTTTTTTTTTGTTTTTTAATATGGATTTTGCGTTCATTTCAATGCATTGAATACAGCAAAGCAGCTTTTTACCAGTTTTACAGTAAGATTATCTCAAAGAACGTCAGCTTAACGGGTTCGCAAGCTTTCTATGCCAGCAGCAGCAGCAGCAGCAGCAGCAGCAGCTGTTGCTGTTTGCGTGCAAAACAAAGCTTTTTGTTTTACTTGGAATCAGAAATGTTAGAAATTTAAGAAAGCGCATATTTGGACGAACGATTTTTAAAACGAAACGAAACCGAAAAGGCGCTTGAATCATTTGCATTTACACAAATGTTAGTCTTATTCTTAAGTACATATGTATTTGAAAAGTGTTTCCTTTTTACCGCTATCTTTGGAACACAATTGAAAATTGTTGCTGTTGTTTAAGGTTAACTGTGTGTGTGTGTGTGTGTGTGTGTCTCTGTTGTTGCGAGGTTATGAGAAAAACTTATTTGCAATGCAAATTCAGATTTGACTAAAGCAAAGGAATAGATAATTTTTGATCTGCCCTTTAATGACCTTCTCTTTGGAAACTTAAGCCGAAATGTTTATATAGGAATATATACAATGCCCCATATATATATATATATATATATATATAGATGCCCTATGTCAAAAGTCAGCTTTCTAAATATCCCCAAGGTGTTGACAATTAAGTGACATTACGCCCGATTATCAGCAAATTTAACTAATTCAGTCTGTACACACACACACACACACACACACACATGTATGGCATACATGTGCATACACATATACGTATACGTATTATACATTTTAAGATCTCGTACTAGCGATATGAAAAGCAATTGCAATTGTCCTTTTTCCTAAACTGATTAAAGGGGGCGCATTCAATGTGCCCCACATTTGAAACAACTTTAATTAAGATCTAAGTTTGTGCATTTAAGGCTTCAATCTTAATCTAAATCTTACGAACTTCGCTAAATAAATATATATTAAATAACTGTAATCCTTAGTTTGGGTCTATTGTCAGGAAGTTGAAATGTTTTCTGTTTGCAAAAATCAACAAAATATCGGGTGTGCCCGACCTTAAGATACTCCTATGCTCAATACCAAACTCATACCCAATTGATTCACAAATAATACAAAAAAATTAAATTAAAATTAAAAATTATAATAATAAATATAATACGGCTTAAAAGTCGTAAATGAATATTTGATCGAGTTATGCGAAGACTGGCTCGGCCCATGCCCCTTTATACAGGGTATACAGGCTCTGATTCATTGCCAACAACAATTCTAATTTTCTGCAACATTTCCAATTTTTTAAGTTAATCAGCTGCAAAGCCAACATCATAATTTATTGAAAGTTTTTGAAAGTTGTTTTCAATTGGACGCCACTGTGCACGAATGTGTGTGCCTCTGTAAATATGTGCATATGCATATGTTTCTATTACGCGCAATAAAAAAAAAAACAAAATCCATTTAGCTAACCGGGTCATCAGCTCGCAATGATGGGGGCCAGCGATTGTGTGTCGCATTTGCGATTAAAGCCAGCGGGAATTCAAACAAAAAAAAAAAAAAAAAAATGCAACACATCAAATGCAGTTGGGTCTGGGCTCAAGGGAGAAAGGCGGGCTCTCCTTGAATTCAACAAAAGGGAAGAAGAAGCAACCTTGTAGAGATGTCCACACACACACACACAGCAGAGAGACACACGACCCTGGACGGAGTTTGGAGTCGAGGCTGCACAGCTCAAGGACGAGCAGAGCCAACGAGTTGAGGCTGGTTGCTTTCGGTTTGTTTTCTGCGTTTTTTGAATGTTGTGAGTCTGATAAAAAATAAAAAAAATAAAGCAACAAATTGAAGAAATAAAACATAACTTCGTATCGTGCACACGGTGCGACGCTGGCAGCGTTAGCGACTGCGCAGCAACAGCGATAACAGCGTCAGCTAACAGAGTTATGCCCCACCAGCCAGCCGCTGGCCGACCCACCTAACCAACCTACCACCCACCCACCCACCCACCTATCCACCCCAACTTCTACAGCATGAAAATTTTCGTTGTTGCTTTACGCTTTGCTTGGTGTCCTGTCCCTCGCACACATACACACACACACACACACACACACACATAGAAAGTCCCAGTCACAAGCACCGTAATTTACGTGCGGCTCTGGCTCTGCTCTCTTTCACTGAAAATCTCTTGCTTGTTTGCACACACACACACACACACACGCACGTACGAGTATATACTCGTGCACATATACATGGGCTTTTCTTCTTTTTGAATTTTACTGTTATTCTGGAATATCTCTTTTCAGCATCTACAGTTACTTTACACTACGGTTTGTTGTTTTTGAGCACAGACACACACACACACACGCACACATATATATATATAAGACGGAAGTTTCTTTAAAATGTCGCATAATTAATTTGTACAAATGTTAAATAATTTCATACGTACATATATAAATATATATGCTACCTTTAAATACATACATACATACATTATGTGTATATACATACAAATGTATGTACGAAATGGGCACACTGTTATTTCTCACTCGATGCACTTTTTGGCGTTATGTGGTTGGGGTGGGGGCGGCATCAGGGGCGCGTGTGTCTTTCTGTTTTTATGTGCTGCCTTTTGGCCAATTGGAAAATCGAAATAAATGAAAGAAATGCAAAAACCAACAGCGCGGTCATTGAGCCGATTTTTATTATTATTAGTATATTCCTCTTTTTTTTCCTTTTTTTTTATAAATATTCCAATATTCGACGGGTATGTACATCATTTACATACATATACTTATGTGTGACCAAAAAAAATAACAAAAAAAAAACATTTCATACACACACGCACAGAGCACGTCTTAGTTCAGTCTGTATGCATATATATGTATGTATGCATATGTGTGTGTATGTATGTGTGTGTGTGTATGTAGTGTGTTTCCAATTGGTGTTTGTTGCTAGTCCGTTGCTTTGAGCTTTGAGGCTGCTGAGAATTTTCTGCCTGCTGAGCCGTCGCAGCAATGTTTGGCGTCGCCCCCTCTATGTAGATACATATGTGCTTGTGTGTTGGCTTTGATATATTAACGCACAGTTTCAACAATTTCAGAAGTAAAAAAAAAACAACAAAAAATTCTGCTTGCAATTTACCTTTTGAATATTATTGCTACACTTTTTGCTCACACAACGACGCAGACGCACGATAAATTGATTCGAAGCAAATTTCTAACGCGCTCCCGCAACACACGTCCGGCTGAAGTTTCAACGCAAAAGTAGTGCTGCAAAAACAGTCGAGGGCACTATCGATGTTGTTGATTGAACCGATTTTAAATCGAGAGTAGCAAATTACCGATAATTAATCGATTTCTACTGCAAGTCAACAATCGAACTAAGAAATGTATTCAGTCTTTTGAGCTGCTCGCAATGAAACTAATTAAGAAATTACAAATTGGTGCAGTCGTACGAATAAATGTTAAAATATAAAATGTTAAGTCTAACAGAGCTCGTAAGGAAATACGTGAAAAACGTTAATGCAATGGGTAGCTCGTAACGAAAATAGGACAACGTAATGCCAATTGTTGTGACGTAAGCGCAAAATGGAGCAACGCGTGTGCAAAATTGAGCTTACCGTATGTTAACGCATGTAAATAGAATGTTAAGTGCTATCGACACAGACACATCGAATGTTAAGTCGAACTCGTTCACAACTGTGCGACACAGTTGCAAAGTGATGATGTTTACGGTGAATGGGGGGTGAGAAAAACGCATAAGTCAGAGCAGAAAGAAGAGTGGGAGAAGGTAACAAAACTACAAATTAAAACTCGTGTCTTAAACACATTTTATTCGCGTATGTTAGCGAATGTGGAAAAATAAAATCGTTGTTTTTAGTCGTACAACGCACAGTTAAGTTAAGTAAAAATATATTAAATCGCACGAACAACCGCCGATACCCCTCCCCAAACGCACACAGCAGCAACCACACAACAACAACACCAACAACGACAACAGAAGCAGCAGCAGCAACAACAACAACAATAGCCAAAAATTGACGATGAACAACGGATTCAGCACCGGCGAGGAGGACTCGCGGGGCGGTCACACAGATCAAACATGCTGCCTGATCGATGATATGGAACGTTGCCGCAACCAGGCTGGCTACGCCAGCTACAGCAAGCGCATCCAGAAAACGGTCGCACAGAAGCGGCTCAAACTGAGCAGCGATCCAAGTGCGCAGCACATTTACATATGCGACTATCACAAAGAGCGCATTCAATCGGTGCGAACGAAACGGCGACGCAAGGACAGCGAGGACGACAGCAACGAGACGGACACGGATCTGCATGAATTTCCTGATCTATATCAGCTGCATGTGTCCACGCTGCGTCGTTATAAGCGTCACTTCAAGGTGCAGACGCGGCAGGGCATGAAGCGTGCGCAATTGGCGGATGTAAGTGCTACAGATCAGAAGCCAGATCATATCTATAAATCTATATCTATATCAGTATCAATATCAATTTCTTTGAGCATATAAATGTTGATATGTATACATAATGCTACTTTTCGCTTTGCAGACCATCATGAAGCATTTCAAGACAATACCCATTAAGGAAAAGGAGATCATAACGTTCTTTGTGTACATGGTCAAAATGGGCTCCAATAAATTGGATCAGAAGAATGGCATTGGCAATGATACCACTTGAACGCAACTCTGACGGCTGCCGCGCTATCGTTATCGTTATCGCTATCGTTATTGATGCCGGCTGCTGAATACTAGCGCTAGCTGTCCTGCTCTCACACACACACATACACACAGTCACACAAACTATGCGTACAGTGAAATCGAATTAGCCGCATTTGCAGCCAAACCACAATTTTCAGTTTTCCCTTCAACTTGATTTGTTCTTCATCAATTTTTGAATATTTTTGAGACTCATGCCGCGGGCTCGGCCCTGTAACATAGCACGGCTGTATGCATTGAGTAGAATGGTTGTCTTTTATAGACAACTTGTGCTAATACGTAAATTAAATGTAATATATTTCAAAATTCGGTTCATGTAAATTCTCAAGATTTCGTTTACGCATAATTCGGCTTCACTGTACTACGTCAGCATAGCGTCAGCGGTGTCCACTTACCAAATGCCCCCACACATACACACACACACAGAGAGAGAGAGAGAGAAACACCACGACCATATGAATTGTAGAAGCGGTCGCAGCAATAACCACAACAAAAACAACAACAACAACAAAAACACAACTGGTGCTCCCAAAATAGTATAAACGAAAATATTGCAAAGGAAAACAACAAATAATTGAATAGAAATTGTAGCGTTCATTGTTAATAGATCTTTATAGAAAAAAAAGAAATACAAATTGAACATAGATAATCATACTATGTAAATGAGACAAATTGAAGACCCAATTTTGGGGCCAAACGATAAGCAACTAACATTTACCTTAGCCTTTCATTATAAAATGCTGTTTTGTCACCTCTTAGCCAAAAGCAATCAAATAAAATTCTAAATCTGCCAACGTGAAATGAATGAATTATGAGAACAACAATCAATAAATTCATCAAATTCTACGTAAATTAAAAATCAAATAAATAACAAACTGTTTAATAATATGTAATTATTAAATTAATAATTAAATTAAAATTTAATTGTACATGTAATTTTAAATCTGAATTTTAAGAACTTATTTAAAACGAAAACAAACAAAAAAAAAAAAACATTTTTAAATTGAAAAAAACAAAAAATGAAGAAATATGCCGTTTTCGGCAGAAGATTGCTCGCAAACCCTTGCAGAATTGTTATATACATACATATATTCTATGGGAAAACAGCCATAGATATATTGAAGTAGATCTCTTCGGCTGTTGTTCCAAAAGAGCTTTAAAACTGCCTGAATTAATGTGGTAAATACTTACTTATAAACGGGATTGATAGAGCCCTCTTATACGTAAAAGTGCCATCTGCAAGGGTATACAAATGTGCGTGGTAATAAAAAAAAAAAACAACAAAAAAATGTTATTTTTATTTAATTACCTAAATTAAAAGCAATGCGCGTTTTATTCGGGCAACAAATAATGTATCAGCAATAATTAAACATGGACACAATTAGAATAGCCCACATTAGGGTATTGTCCATCAAGATATGCTGTCTGCTGACATCTTCGATGACATGTCATCAGCATAGTCTTGTAGACATTTTAGTTTAGATAATTGATCAACAAATACAGTACGCTCTCGCTTAACGCAATCGGTTCAATTGCAAAAACCGACATAAAATTTAATATTTGCCAACTGACCTGCTTTTAAAAAAGAGATGCCTTTTATATACATTATTATTAACGTTAATTGAATAAATCCGTGTTAGAAATAATTGAATTTTGTGCAATTTATTTATGGAAATATGGGCATTTTTGGACATCACTTTTCTACAATTAATATTTTATAAATAATAAAAAAAAAAAACAGGTATCAAAGCATACAAATTTCTAAAGCAAAAAGTATTTGCATTAGCATTAAAGTGAATTGCGTCTATCGAGGAGTTGTGGTAACGAGGGTGTACTGTATGTACAGTATGGCTTGTGCGTTAACCTTAATTCCAGAAGATATAAGGCCATAGATATTGGATCTACTTATAGTTGTATGTACGGAGAAAGAATGTTCGTAATATGCCGCATATCGAATAAAGGAAGAAGACGAAAAACAAATTATCTAGATACATATATGTATCAATATAGTTGGGGGCACCTCCACTCACGCCCAACTTGTTGAGGAATAATGATCGATTGTTCAGGCAAATGGCTAATAAATAATGCAATATTACTAAAATGGAAAATAAGCTAGGATTCGTAGTGAAGATTATGAATAAGTGCACAAAATACACCAGCAACTTGTTTAAAGGCAAGCATATTTTTCGCGGGCTTTCAACAAATATCGCATTAATCGATATTTTCTTTAGTGCGATACGTGGTAACAGCCGATATATATTGTGTGTTGTTGTCAACTGGCTGTATTTTGTAATATCAGCAGTTTTCGGTGTTGGCGATACATCGATAAGAGCACCCATCTCTAGCTTAGTTCATTTTTTGTGGTGGTTAACGTACAAATGTGCTGCGTGCTCCTTTTTAACAAGTTTTCAGAATATTTACATTTGATATCTTAATCCTCTGACGTAGTTAAAGCTATTTGGCAGTTGAATCGTAGCTCAACTGAATTGCCGGATCGCTAAAACATCAAAAACTACGGACTCGCGCACACAGATTAACCAACGCTACATACAAAGACCCACACATACGAAGAAGCGTGCGTGTTGGTGTGTGTGTGTGTGTGTGTGTGTGTGAGCGCGCGTGTGTGTGTCAGTGTCAGTGCGTGCTGCTGTCGTCGTCGTCGTCGTCGTCGTTGCAAAGAGGAAGCAGCAGGCAAAGGCGAACGGCGGACGCGAAAAAGGAGCCCAAGAGCTCAAGAAGCTGCAGGGAACGGCTGGCAGTTACCGGAACATTGAGTTGCAGCAGCACAAGTTCAAATACATACAGCACAATAACAACAACAGCAACAACAACAATAACAACAAGCGAATAGCAGCAGCACACAACAAAGGTGTCGCCCCCGCCTTTCCTCCCCCACAAAAATGCAACAACAAGAATCTGGGGGCGAGGAGAGCTGGCTAGAGGAGCAGTGCCATCGCGAAATCAACGGCCAGAACGATGAGTACGAGCGCGAGTTTGTGCGTCAGCGGGACAACAATTTAAGCACCGTCTGGGGCGCATTCCAGGACTCGGCCACTGCAGTTGCACAGCTCTATCGTGGTAAGTGCTTCACGTTCATGTTCATCCTGCTGAACCTTTTGATACTCTAAATGCATTTTGTTTATGGTACTATGCTTCGTTGTATTTGCATCGCATGCATATGTATGTAGCACATGCACACACCCAGTCTGCGTATGTGTATGTGCATAAAAATAGTTCGGACGGGAGCGTATTAATAGCGGCCGTGCAGCCTGCCTGTGCCAGGCAGCAGAGAATTGTAACAACAACAACAAGTGCATGCTCACAACAGGCCCGGCTTTTAAGCTTATGGGCCTGCCTATGCGTGTGTGTGTGTGTGCATGTGTATGGTGCTGCTCTCGCAGGCATCATTCACACGCCTTAAAATTCTCCACATTACCTATTCTCCACTTATTCGCATGCAATCTACGCATTATCAAAAACTGCAGCAGCAGAAGGGCTTGGAATGCAATAGAGACCAGGCATGTTGATGTCTCTGTCTGCGTTCGGTTTTTGGTGTTGCTCTTTGAACGAAACAACAAGAAGAACGAACGGAAAGCGGAACGCAATAACATTTGCGCTGCACTGCGCAGCAACTGCAGCGTTTGTTATCCTTAAGACATAGACGCTGCGCTCGATTTTTTTTTTGGTTTATTCATTTTAGTTCCAGATGAAAAAGTCATTTGGTCACATAGCATCTAACCACAAATGTGTGTGTGTGTGTGTTTGTTTAAATATAGTGCGTCATTTAGAAAAACAACATTTGACAAACAGCTGTTTTCGACTGTCGCTGCAGAGAGTGGAAGCTGCTGACGTCGCTGCCGCCGCCGCCCTAGGCCGCATAAGCTTAAGCGTCGCATTCTGTTTGCTCTCTTCCTCGTTTTCGGCTGTTGCTACTCGCAAAGACAAGCAACAGCGAGCGAGAGCTATCTTAACGTTTCTAATGCTCCTTATTTCCGTTTCTTATTTTCTGTATTTGCTGCCGTCCCTCTCCCACTTGGTCAGTTGATGCGCCGTGACGTCGTAGAGTCCGCATTGTCATTTGATTCTCCCTCATGTGCTGCGGATCAATAACGGCAAATGGCTTTGCTCCTTTATGTTTCCGTGTCTTTTGCTCAGCAGCAGCAGCAGCAGGTGTTGGCTATTTTAAAGAGCGAAGAGAAAACATGGAGAGAACAATTTCCCCAAGTGATCTGCGAATGGTGGCCATTTCGATTTGCAACCCTATTGATAACAATAAAGGGATAATACCTTCACTTTACCTGTATATTATTTTCTTCTTCTTCTAAAAGTCTACTACTAAAAGGACCGAACTGTAGATTTGATGATTTAAGGAATTGAATTAAGTATTCGGTATCTTAAGCTAATTGATATATTCAATAATTCCCGCATCGATCTTAATGTAGTTTCGCTATCTTGTCTCTTACAGAACGCTCTTCCAACACATTCGCTCCGGAGGCTGGGGCACTGTGGCTGCCCTTTCAGACCGCAGCTGGCACTGTGACAACACTCTACAAAGGTAATTATTGTTGGATTGTTTAAACAAATGCTAAACTAAAGTGGCTTCCTTTTAGAATCTTGTGATGGTCTCAAACGCACCAGCGACGCTGCCATACAATGCGGCTACCAAAGACGCACACGCGAACTGGCCGATTGGGCGCGCAGCAAAAAACGCCGCATGATACGGCGCGAGGATTTGCTGGCCTATTTAGCTGGAAAAGCGCTGCCAACGCAACCAACGAATCCACATGCCAATCGTCGGTGAGTCCGCCTTCTAAGGCAGCCGAACATATCCTCCAGACTAATGCTTTCTCTATCTCGCATGCTCGCCCGCTTGCCCGCTTGCCTCATGCTGCAGGTCGCCCAAGCCGGAACATCACCATGGCGGCGGAGTACATCATCATCAAGTCAGCGGCAGCACAAATAGTGTCACTGGCTCGGCGATAGGCTTTGCCAGCAACGGACTGACCATGATGCCACCCACAACCGCCGGCGGACAACCAACGCATTTGCTAAACGCCGCCAGCGGTCAGGCGGCGACAGTAGGTGCCACAGGCGGCACTGGCGGCATCATCGGCGACGATCTGCACACTTTCAAGGAGGCCTTAGTTTTGCGTCCACGGTACCTATATTACCATAGACCATCTAGCAAACTAGTTACATGCTTTGCTAGTCTCGCATCGGCATCAGATTCTCATATATATATATATATATATATATATTTGTAGACAGATGGGCTTAATAATGTGTGGATAGACAAACTATATTCGATATTCAAATTGAATTATTCATAAAGTATAGAAGCAACTGCTTTTAAGTCATACTTTGTGTCTTTGAACCATGTTTAAGGGTATAGTTCTGTTACGAAATCCATATAAGTAGCCATCTCCGAGCCCAAAGAGTATATATCTATATTCTGTATACATCTGTATTCTATAATGTAACTTAAAGTCCGTCCGTCCGTGCTTGTATGTAACAAGTTTTTAGTTAAAAAAAACAATTGACGACAGAACCATGCAAATGTCCGAATCGGACCTATGTATATTATAGATGCGCAAGGAAGTATCGGTCAGTGTATACTTTTTGAATGAAAAACATTTCATTTTAGGCTATTTCAAGCAAACTCAGCAATCACGAGCTTTGCCGTGCTCGTAACAAATAAGCTACATTTAAACTTTTAAAGTAAACATATTGAAAATGGGTGCAAATGTATACTATATATACTATATACTTGTTGATCTGGATGACGAGCTGCTGCGATCCAGTTCTGTCCGTGTACGCTTTCATGTCGAGAGAAACAAAACCTCCTTACTTGAAAATCGAAAAATATGTTTTTAGCTTATTATCGAAATATCAATAGATTATCAGAAATGGTTCTTTACAACATAACTCGTAGATCAAATGGGGGTTGTGTAGCCTCTCGTATAGTAGATATGCATTAAGCCGTGCACCCCAAATTTCGAATAGACAAAATCTTAAAGGTAGAGCCTTGTGCTTTGGTATGTATCCACCTTTGTATGCCCTATTTCGTAAGGATCAGACTGTAAACAACCGAGTTAAATCAGAATGCATTTTTCATGGCGACAACAAGAAAAGGAAGAAGATTTATATATATATATATATATATATATATATATATATATATGCATATTTCTTAACATTTGTTTAATTGTTATTTACTTTATCTTTGCTTTCTAGCGGACCGGAGCTATTTGCATTTGTTGCCAACGAAATCGCTCGCCATTGCAAGCGTCCCGGCAGTCCCATCGACGACAAAATGGACATTTGCCACTACAGCAGTAAACGTCAGCGCTTTATGTAATCCCAGCATCTAGCGGCAGCCAACGGGATGGACACACATAGACACACATACATACACACTCTTATACACATACACATGCATGCGCCAAATTGAAATGCAACAACACTTTTCCCACTCAATGCAGCAGCTGGAGTAACACGTGCTATTGTTTGGGGGGGGAGGGTAAGAGGGGTGGCATGGAAACAACAACAAAAACAAGATCAACTGCAGCCGCCGCAACAGTGTGTGTGTGTGCGTAGGTGTAGGTGTGTGGGGCAGGGGCGCGACTAGTTCTATTAAACTGTACTATTAAACTGTTAAATTCTGTTTATAATATTTATGCCGTAAAGTTCTTGTTACTGCGCTTTGTCGACTCAAACACAACACAGACACACACACACACACACAGCCACACACACACGCAGCCACACACACAAGCAAACACACAGTTAACACACACCGATCAGCATAAGTTAAGTTTAGTTAGTTATTAAGCATAAAAAAGCTTTTGTTGTAAGTTTTCAAGTCAAGAGGTGGTCTTAAACATAGCGAAAATATTGTGTTAATGCACGCAGTTATATGTAGCCTAGTATAACACAAACACAAACACACATGCATACATTCAAAACTGTTATACGTAGGCATTATTGAAGCATGAAAATGATGAAAGCAAAAAGAAAACAGACCCATTAGACCGTTCCAGGTGGCAATTAAGCCGTGTTACCAATCGATCTATCTATGCACATTTTAAAACGGTTATGTAGCAATTGTTGTAACATACATATACATATATTTATGTATGTATGTATGCATAACACAACTACAAACACTGTTGTAAGCCAAAAGTTGTAATGTATATAAGTGAGTAAGTCGGAAATGATAGAAAAACAACACGTTTCGATAAAGTTACATTATGTTTGGATGACACGTACTAAAACCTTAGCTGTTTATATAAACAATATATGCGTATATATATATATTTATATACTTATTTTATGATTTGTTCACATCATCGAAACGCTTCCTAAAGTCACCACAGAAAAAAAAAAGAAAAAGAAAATGCTAACAAAACTAACAAAATTTCAATTAAAAGATTAAAGATAATAATCCGCGGTACAGTTGCAAACGATATTTGATCTTGGCAGTAAACTTCTCGCATGTCTAGTTAGCCAGGAAATACCATCTATATATATATATATATATTTATTCGTATAGAACCCATCTATGTATATGAATATAGCGTCGATGATCAAGTTGAGCAAGTTTGAGAACGAAAGCACGTACTAAATTATATGTATTAAAACAAAAGTCCTATGAAATATTTGAGTTGTAATAAATTTAACAAATATGCTTAATTAACAATATACAATTCAAAATGAGAAAAGAACGCAATTAAAAGAAGAAAAAAAATTATTATACAAGATTAAGAAGAAAAACACTATAAGTTTAAATAAAAACATTAAAACATACAAAATCAACCGAACTTAGACTCGTTTTTTCTACATTTTGCAATTCATTTATATTATGTATTTTCAAAAACTATCATATTTGTTTTCGAATATAAGGTATACATATATTGTTATTGAATGGAACGAGATTGTGAATGTGAGCGGAGTTGAATATCGCCTGAACGAAGTCAATTGAAAAGCTGAAGAAAAACGAAAAACGATCTTATAAAACATAAACTTTCCTCGTAACTAAAGTTCTACTAAATAGAATCTAGAGCAGAGCTGAAAATATTTGTTTGTTGACTCCGATATTGGAAAGACTTTTTCCGACTTTTTTTACTGCCCTTTTTGAAAATCCAACTCTGCGAGATATTTTGAAAATAGAAAAAATGATATACGATATTCGAAAGAAAACGAAAAACAAACCAAAACTTCTGAAAGTGCATCTGTACTGAACGACTTAATGACATAGAAAGAGACAGAAAGATGAACATCGCCTTCTTCCTCGTTGTACCTGGAATTTATTTCTACACCTTTCAAGAAATGATACAAAAAAAAAAACAGGACGAGATCTTCTTGGCCAGAATGAATTCCTTGTTTATTCGTAAGTTAGTTTGGGCTTCAGAAACTCAAGAATTGTACATTGAAATTCATTGCTATTTTATTTTCATATTCATTTTAAATTTATATATATATATATATATGTATATATTTTGTTTTTTTCTTTTTGTTGTATATTTATATATATATATATAGATGTGTACATATATTATATTATTTGTATAACTGCACGGCTGGCAATTAATTACATATTACATTAAATCGGTGAATTAATTAACTAATACAAAACAAGACGATTGCAATGTAGCGAGACTGTCAAACTGTACAGTCGTGGAGGCGGGGCGCCAATCAGTAGCTCTCGAACTGTAACAAAGCTGCCAGAACAGTTTTTGAATTGTCGCTTGATTTTCGTAAATGATAAGAGGAAAAGCTTTGCATATTTTGGTAAACATTCAAATACAAATAAAGTGCCAGTTGCAGCATTACATGAACAAAATTTGTTAAATCGCAACCAACTATTTATCAACAGCAACAAAATGAGCACAGCAACAGTTTGGAATGCTGCGCAGCAAAACACAGTTATAGTTATTTATTTTTGTTTTCTTCATGTTTCCTTTTGCACTAGAGATATCAACAAAATTGTTAAACAGATTTTTGCGATCGCTTTTCGATTGTTGCAATTTCAAGCACAATTAAATAAATTGTAGTTAACGTTTCTTTTTCTTCCTTTTAATTCTATTTCTCAATTCAGTTTAGGTGTGTGTTTCTGTGTGTGGCGAAGGTATGTGTGTGTGTGTGTCTGTGTAAAACAATGTGAAGAGCAAACGAAAAAAAAAATGGTTAATTGTTAATCGGTTTAACGATAACGATAACGATACTTTTGAACTAATTACAATGTCTTGCCCTTAACGGAATGTTTATGCTACATTTCCAACACTTAACAGAAACTGTTCTCAATTGCCATTCCACGAAAATTCTTTGCTGTGATATGCAAATACGCTTGAGTTAAATTCATTTAGAATTGTACGTCAGAACAGTTCTGTATCCATATATATATATATATATATATATATATATATAGATATATATATATGTAATATGTATATATAGTTCTTATGTCAAGAAACAAAATTAATGCAAAAATTAAATTATACAAAATTTAACGTTAACGGACATGTTTTTCGAAAATGTATGTAACATATATATATGCTGCTACTGTATATATATATATGTGTGTGTTTTTTAGTGTTGGTCGTTATGTTGTCCAATAGCGAGTTTAAGTTGTGTGTATGCGTGTGTGTGTGTGTGTCTGTGTGTTAAAAAGCAGTTAAGAGCCCTTAACACAAAACCGGTGCGTGACGTTGCGCAGGTCGCAGCCTAAAACTGAACCCAATTGGCATTTGCCGTATTCTGTTGTCCTTGATTACCGCTGAAAGAGAGCGAGAGAGAGAGAGAGAGAGAGAGGGGAAGAGTCAGTTGGTAAACAAAACATTGCCTGCGTATTTGTTGCAGCTCACCCGGCGGATGCGTAGTCGGTCCACTCCGTGCCGGCGCCGCCTCCGCTGGTCCGATGGGCTGGCGATGCGCCCGGACTTTGCCGCAACGTCGCCGCAGCCGCAGCCGCACCGGCTGGCGGTGGCGCAATTTTGGCCAAACCACCTGGCGGCGGTGGTAGCACACCGCCGGTACCTTTGCCCTTGCCAGTGCGCGAGCTGCCTTCAGAGCCATCCTTTTTCTGCAAAGCAAAGTCCAAAGTATTGTTAATCTCTATAATATTCAGCAAGGCTACAATATGACAATAATAAAGGGGATTCCCTAGTGTTCATTTGTTGAGGATCGTCAAGTTTAACATATTTATTGTATAAATTGTATGTCAATTAAAATGGAATAGAGATTGACATCAGGGAAATGAATCCAATAAAAATTGCAAACGCGCATTTTATAAGAAAGTCGATATTGTGTTCTACTCTATAAAAATGAGCATCAAAGCGGGTATCTTGGTTTTGCGAGGCCGTATGTTACAGGCAAATCTCTGATAGAATAGGAATAATCATGTGAGGTATGAAAGTACAATTAAAGGCCATATTTAAGCCTTGACATGATCGCACATCAAATCAAGAAAGTTACTTGGAAATCAAGAAGCTTTGGATAAGGCATAATGCGGAGCTGTGAACAGAGTATCTTGTAGTCTATAGTTACCGTGATGCGCATGTTTATTTTGATGGTTTCACCCTCCTTGAAGCCCAAATCGAGCTCCTGTTTGGGTTCAGTTTTCTCTTTTTCGATTTGCTCTTGATTCTTGACCCACTTGAAGTGATCCTGTAACGCCACATTCAAATCGAACGAATCGGAGCGATCGCCAAAACCGAGACCCAAAAACGCCGATCGTCCATTGTCGTCCTGGACACGTATGACAAAGTAGCGTGAACTGTCCGAGACCGATTCAATGGCAACACCGGGATATGTATCTACGGGGCAGTTGGCAAACAGTGCGCCGCTCGTCTTATCCTCCAGCTTTAGTATGCAAGTTGTGCCCTTGGCTACCAGACGCATTCGTCCGGTCCAGGTGGGCTCTTTCAGGTTCCAGTCCGCTGCTCTGCGTGTTGCAAAACCGATTTAAAATTATTATTCTTTTTAGTTCATAAACATTTTCAGTTGCTGGCATGCGCACATACGCATATGTATGTGTGTGTCTGTGTCTGTGTGTGTGTGTGTGTGCGCGCTCTTATTTGCCTGCCTGTATTTATTGTTTTCTGCTGTGCGGGCGCTTCAAGCGAAAACAAAGAAAGTCAACAACAAGACTAGCAACAAAAACAATTACACTTATACAAAAGCTTTGGCTGCACACACACACAAGCAGACACACACACGCAAGTGCATATACATACATTAGACTTGCAAGTGAAATGTACAGCAATTGAGAGAAACTGCAAAGCGAGCGCTTAAATAAAAGTGCAGTAAAAAAAATCAATTGGAATTGAACTTCAAAAGAGGCAGCAATCAACAACAGTCATGTTCAGGTTGTTTTTTTTTTCTTTTTTTTTTTTTTTTTTTTTTTTTTTAGTAACCTTGGCTGTGGCCTTTTGCCACATATTTCGGTCTAATTTCCGTGCCTTGCGCATTTTTAACATAATTATTGCATTTCTCATGGACACACATACAAATGCATACACACTGTGTTGGGATGTGGGGGCGTCTCTGCATGAAATCACAAAACTTTCAATTGCACCACATAACAACAACAACTGGACAAATTTTTGTATTTTGAGCACAATTTTTCAAATTGAAGTTGACATCTCACCTGTATCCTCTGTTGCTGGCGCGTGGCGGTATTTTGTATATGAATACCTCGGGCTTTACAATCAGCACACTTTCATATTCCATATTTATTTGAATTAATACTATTGTTTATAATCTTGCCTATGAGTTCCGTTTATAACTTTAAGCTTACAACTACATATACTGCGGAGCTGCAAGACAATCGATGCCAAATATCGATGATGTGGACAATCGAATGGCCTCCACAATGCTTAGCGCTGATATAAAATGAGTGAATTCTAGGTTGCCACGTAGCAGCTACTTGCAGTCTGGCTACGTTGGCAACAGCTGACAATTCGCCAGGTCGTAGTTTAAATTTTTGGATACTATTTTTGATGTTAAAACAATATGCTGTACTTGCTAAAGTTGCTTTTCGGCTAACAAAGTATTAAAAATATCTCATACATTTACTGATTGTCTTTAAATAAGAAATAGCGCGAAAAGTATCGATAGCTTATATCGATTTATAATCTGTAACTATCGTTGTTTCAAACCTAAGTATCGCCATATCGATGTCGTAGATTGACATTCCAAGCTCGCACGTTGTTTCTGAGCTATCTACGTTCATGCTAAAGCAAAATGCCACCGGGTGTGCAAATCACGAGCGACAGCGACTTAGATCTGGTATTGGAGGAGTTTAAGGCCAAACAGGCTCGTCGCGACAGCACCGGCCCCAAATACAGCTGCAGCATCGGCGGCTGTGACGCAAGCTTTAAGCGTCTGGACCAATTGGATCGCCATGAATACCATCACACCGGCATTGTAAGTCAAAAAAGGGAACCAAAGCGGCTTCCATCAACCAACTGACCATTTGTTCTTGTAGAAAAAGCATGCTTGCAGCTACGAGGGCTGTGATAAGAGTTATTCGATTGTCACCCATTTGAAGCGTCATCTACGCAGCACACACGAGCGTCCTGCGGCACTGCAGAAAACAATCAAATGCAGTCTGCCGGAGTGCAGCAAGATGTTCACATCGACCAGCAATATGACGCGACACGTACGCGAAGCACATGAGTTTCCGCGCGAATATGCGTGCACACATTGCTCGGCCAAGTTCAGGCAAAAGATGAAACTGCGCCGCCACGAGATTACACAGCACACACAGGCGTATCCGTTTCGGTGCGAGAAGTGCACTCGCGGCTTCTATCAACAGTGGCAACAGGAAAGCCACCAGCGCAGCTGCAAGCTCTACGCCTGCCCTCAATGTGAAGAGCAATTCGACAAATGGACGCTCTACACAAAACATTGCCGTGAAACGCTGCACGGACGCGAACGCCACAAGTGCGAGCAATGCGAGCGCAGCTACGAGAAGCCAAGCGATCTGAGTGCCCATATCACTGCTAAACATCCTGCAGAGAACGAATCGACTTTTGCATGCACCGAGCCTGGCTGCAATCGCAGCTATTCCTACGAGCGCAATTTGCGGCAGCACGTCTTGTCCGCCCATTCGGGCAGGCGCTTTGAGTGCCTGGCCGTTGATTGTCAGCGTTGTTTCAGCAGCGCCCAAAATCTCAGCAAGCATTTGCTGCGCGACCATACAGCCAAAGAGCGCCTGCCGACTAAAAAGCAGCAAAGCCCAAATCCAAGCCCAAACCCATCCCCGGCAGTAAAAGTGTCGCGCAAGCGTCGTCGTGATGCGGGCAAGCCAACGCGCTCGCGCCTATCCAAGCTGGCTTGCCTGGTGCTCGACAAGAAGATTGATAAGGAGGTGCGCCTGCGCAAACCACTGGCGCTGACTAGCGTATCCCAGGAACTGCAAAAGCAACAGGAAAACCAGCAGGCACAGATGGACGATGGAGAAATTGAGGAGCTGCTGGCGCAAGCGCTGCATAATGACACCGAAGAGGAAATTGCCGCATAATCGATCATCAAAGTGCTTACACAAGTGTTTTCCAACCTCAATAAAAACATAGGAAATGAGCTATTGTATAAATATTTAAGCGACTATTTTAGTTCTTGCAAAGCAATGTCATACATTCGTAATTAGTTCGAAAATAACAACAACTATTTATTGCTGATAACCTGCAAGCTTTGCTGTTTGGTCATAATTGATGTTTCATTGTTTACTTCTATATATTGAAAATTGTTTGTACGGATTGACTGATTGGAAAATTCCACCCAAACCATGCCTAAACTCATTTGCAGACGTTTGTTCAAATCCATTTTAAAGGTATTTAACACTTTTTGAAGAATCCATGCCACTCCTTGGTGGACATGGAACTCCAAGGATTGGTGAGTGATGTTATAACTCGGCCGCGCAACGCCAGGCAATATGTCCAGAGAAAGAAAATATTCAAAAATGAGTTGAATGAACAAATCGCTCTATGATAGGAAAATCTTATTTACATAGTTATATATTGATACCATATAGAAAATGACACCTTATCGTGCCATCTTAAAAGGTTATCAGTCAAATAGATAGTCATATTCCTAATATCTATTTTAGCAGGCTTCCTAATGCCCTGTTGAAATGCAGCTACATGTCTTCTAGATACAAAATCAGTTAAACTCTTTAGTTGTTCCATACTTTTTTGTATGTCACATGTATCTAGATCTAGCTTTTAACATTTATATAAAAGAACTGAACAAATATTGCTTTAAATATACATTTTTGTCAGATATATCAACTGATATTTGACGTTTACATATTCCAATATTCACAGAGTTTGAGCAGGTTCTTGAAATGGTTCGCTGTAGGATTAGTTGTTTTTAATGAATTTCTATTGAATTCAATCAATTGATGTTTCAGTTTGGGTTTTATTTAAAAATAACGTTTTTGATAACATTAACAAATGCGCTGCACGTGAAAGATGCTGTGTAAGGGTGTATGCGGTGGATTCTACAACGAACTGATGACCTTGCGGCTGCGCATCTGCTCCAGCCATTGCTCCAATTGCTGTTGCGGCGTCTGTGGCTCGGGCAGATAATAATGCTGTGGAGGTTCGCCCTCCTCTAGGCGCAGAAAGTAGTGACAGTGCTTGTACTCAACGCGCCCGAAGCGACCGCGGGCATGCCGACGCATACCCTTAAAGACACGTCCTTTGCCCACAAAGGATTCAGCTGGGACACAAGAAAAACCCGCTAAATTAGTTGAGACCTATTGTGAAAGTTGACTATTTTACCAATCCACAAGTTGCTTTTGTACTCCACGTTGTGCCGCTCAACGGCCATTTGCTGAGCCTCCAGTATCGTCTCCTTGACATCTGTGGCGCCTTTCTTGAGCACAAAATTCAGCTGCTTGAGCGCCTCATCCACGGACATGCCGCGCACAAAGGCCGCTATATACCACATCTTGTCCGGACTGTATTTGATGTTGGTGCGCATGTGGCACACATACTGGAAATGAATTGGTTGCCATTAGAATAAGCGCATATTGAAATCATCGTGTCAGCTCTTTTACCGCCTTGCGTGGCTCCTCATCCGACTCCTGTGGCGGATGCACCGTTTTGTTATACTCCAGCCATTTGCGCGGCCCGTAATTGTGTTTGTTCCATTTGGCGCACAGCCCGCCCGTCGAAGCCGTGTGCACGCCGCAACAGTAAACGTTTTGCGTGATCGCAGGTGGCATTGCTAACAATTTGGCGACGCTGGTGGCGGGGGCGGTTGCCAGCAGCGGCGTCTGCAGCGTTAGCTGCGCCATTTGTCTTATCACCTTGTGCATGGTACTTCAGGTTTTGTTTAATAAAAATGTCAAATGAATTATAGCTATAAAAAAAACCTATAAGCACCATCGGTCGCGTAATCTGCCAGCGAACAGCTGTGTGTGCGTAGCCGAAATCTTATCGATATATCCGATATCGATAGTCTTGCGTGCTTCAAATGTTTGCGATAAGCATCATTAAATCGAGACTATATTTTCGTTAATCGTATATTTATTAAATACCTGAATACCTTATCAAATTCAAACGATCACAATTAGGTATCTTATGCTGATTGCAATATAATCGCATAAACGACTTTTGAGCAAGTACTTATCGATAGCATAAATTCAAGGGCTGCAATAGACGATTTATCGGCATTTATAAGCAGGGCTGCAATAGTATTTATTCAATTTAAAAAAGGGAAAAGCGTTAATATAATAGTGACTTATTGTGACACAAACTCCCACTATTTTGACTTGGGCTTGATCTTAACGGACTTGGGCTTGCCTAGCTGCTGCTTCTGCTCGTATGGAGCTCTGTAGGTGCCATGTAGCTTATCCAGCCAACCTGTAACGCCATAATTGTAATTGAACCTGAAAACAAAAATGCGTTAATTTTGCCTTTTTTTAATTAAGCATGCAGAACTGTCACATACTTGGCGTGATGATAGTCGTGGAAGCGCACAGATCCGCCTGACCAAGGAAAACTGTAGCCTGTATGATCGCTCATCGCGTTGATGACGGCCAACGATGTCAGGACCCAAGCCACAAGAACATGTGCGCCCAGTAGAGACAATGATATGCCCACTGGAACCAAATTGGCCAGCACATGCTCTAAAGGATGCGCGTACAGAGTCATGGCCGCAACGGGTGATGTCCACTCATGATGCTTCTTGTGCACATACTTGTACACCGATTTGTGGTGCAGCAAACGGTGCACATAGTAGAACATGGTCTCTTCCAGCACCACGAAGGCGACAAAGTCGCGCACAGCCCGTCCAAAGCTTGGTAGTACACGTACCTCGATGCTATTATAGTGCTTGAGCACCAATACGTAAAGGCACCAGGTTATAGTCAAATTGACCACAGTTAAGTTAAACAGCACCATCTTGACGGCACGCCAAAGTCGTCCAAGATCCAGCGGCTCGTTCTGGCCCGGCTGTATTTTGTATTTGCGAAGAAATTTCGGACGCTTCGTGATGTCCATGAGCGTGAAAATGGCAGCATAAAGCCAATAAACGATAAATATGATTATTGTGGTGCCGAACACCCACAAGTGCATCGGATCGTTCCCGATGACATCGAGCAAAGCTAGCCAGCGCGCCTGAACCAATTCGCCGGTGTTGCGCCAGCGCAGAGCACAGCTGGAGAGGATTGTGCTGGACTCCATGGCTCAATCTCGACTGGCAGGCGCAAAACGCTGCAAGTATATGCGTTGCGCCCATGATGCGTTACAGCCCAACGGGCATTTCAGCTGGAGCCAGCAGCTGGTGCCAGTTGGTATCAAGACTACCCAAAAGATATGCCCACTATGGGAAAAAGAAATAATTTGAAAATGTGAGTTGAACCCTCGCACAGGTTTGAGTCTAGTAAACTTGTGGAATATTGTCTCAGCCAAAGGCCTTATAGAGTACAAATTTGGGCTGATTTGTTTGTAACTTGTAATTCCTATAGTTTTAACAAAAAAATTAAAAAAGACTTATAGCTCATTCAACTAACAGCATAGACCCCGCTGTGTTTCGCCTTTTAGCTGATTAGCTGCAATGGTTATCATGTTGTCGTAGTCAATTTATAAAAGATTAACTATTGCCGAGCATTATTCAATTTGTAGATTAGGTCTATTTTTGATCAGCAGGAGTACAACAACTTCTTGCGCCCAAAGTTCAAGAAATCTCTTTGCGTTTCTTTCTTATTTAGTATTTGGTTTATTATTTTATTGTTATTATTATTATTTTTAGTTCGTGCCGTGTGAGAAATACATCATACTTTACTGCTTACTACTAATTAGTTTTGGTTTCTGGTTTTTGTTTTTTAAACGTACACATTTACATCTTCTTTCTGCTTGTTGTATAATTTATCTTTTATCATTTAACGTTTTATTTTAATTTTTTTTTTATTTTAGTGTCTATAAAATTGAAACTTTATCTGGCTTCTCGCTTGGTTATTATCACAATGAAGTGTACACACATAGAAATGTCGGTAAAAAAAAACAAAAAAAAATAAAATAAAATAATAGTAATAAAAGAATACATCATTTTATATAAGGTACATGCACACATATATATATATATATATATATATGAGCGGAGAGCGTATAGAGGAGAGGATTACACAAGAACGCCCGAGGGCCAACAGCTTGAAGATGGGCTCTTCCAGCAGGAACCACTCACTTCATGGTGGAGTCGGGAAAGGCATCGCGTGGCGGCACAAAGCTTAGCATCATAATGTGCCGCGCATAGGATTTGGTGGCACGAAATAGCGAGTCGGTGCCATGCAAGCGATCCAGGACGCCCAGGACGCCGAAGCAGTTGTTAAATCTAAAAAGCATAAAACATACATCTATTAAAAAGTTCAACAAACTATGAAGAACAGATTTCTAGATAGAGAGACTAGATACCCTTACAGTCATACTCTACGCTTAGCTACACTTTTACTTAGTCTAGGCTTAGGCCTAGTTGAAACTTGGAATTGTTTTCTCAGAAACTTTTGCGCATACACTTGTTAAATCAAACTCAAGATTTCTGAGATTGGCTTAAAACATATTTGGAATCCCGATTATTACATACGCTATATACGATTTAGGTAGTCGGTTTAGGTTTAAGATATTGTGAAGAATATATAAATATATATATAGAGCTTTATAATATATTAGGGCAATGTTGATAAGGTTTTACTTATATGTGAGAGCATAGTTATATGTTAGTATGGCAATATCGATTCAGCTGTTGTTATGGATCAGGACTATATATGTATATACTTGATGCAACCGGAGAGATCGACCTTTATATATCTCGTGTCCGCAAAATGAGCTTGAACAATAAGTCTTTTATATAATAACTTAATTTTGAACCGATATTCATGAACAGAGATGTGAGATATGGAGGTCCCATGCATGGAGCTAACTAATGTAATTCTCCCTGAATGACATTTCATGGCAAAGTTATAATACGCTCGTTAAAGGGCATTAAATTCGATTTGGTCGAATTGGAACTCACTTCAAATGATGAAAGTCGTGCGCCTCGGGGCTGGGAAAGAACGGCAAATGATAGCCGGAGTGTGCATTCAGCGTCGAGAGTATGGCAAGCGCGAACCATAGCCAGGCGGTGGCCACATGGCTGCCCATCAGGAATACGCCCAGAAACGGTGGCAGCAGGTTACTGAATATATGCTCAATGGGATGGCAATAGATGGCCGTGACCGATATTGGTGCGGTCCACTCATGATGCTGCTTATGTATAAACTTATAGATGTGCTTGTGGTGCAGCAAACGGTGCGAATAGTAGAAGCCCAGCTCCTCCATCAATATGCACACGGTTAGCTCGAAGCAGACCCAGTGGAATGTGGGCAGCTCTCGTATATCGCTCAGGCCCCGCACCGTCATCAATTTGTAACTGAGATACGCCAGCGGTATGCCCACAAATATTTGATTGCAGATCACACGCCAAATGACCTGCAAGAGCGAGAGAGAGAGCGAGAGAGAGTTTCAGATTTAACTTAATTAAGAATGAATCAATGAAGTGATGCGTTGCGCATTCGTCACCTTCAACAGACGTCCGGCCTCGACGGGCTCATTGGTGCCCGGCTGGATTTTGTATTTGCGGAGACAGGCCGGCCGATTGGTCAGATCCATGAACGTGTAAATGCCGCCTACACTCCAGTACACAAACATTGTGAACATGGTGGTGCCAAAGACCCACAGCATCATCGGATCATCGCCTGCGAGCACAGGACATATATTCGACTATATTGTTAGCCTAGTTCCACATAAGGGTTTCTATCGTATCTATTCTATTATTCTATCTCTACGTATTACATGCACTTATCTAAAGCTCCGTCAAGTGTAACACGCAATTCATGGCTTGAGTAACAATAAATATTTATAGGTCTGAGAGTACAAGTTAAATGACCCCTGATCATTTTTATATATAAATATGTGTATGGCATGTACGTGCCAATAGCTATATATAGCCCTTTTGACACAAGTTTATGGAGATATCTCTGACAATAAAATTAACTCATTTTCTATTAACCTAAAGCTTAACTGCAAATCTTGCCTGTACCGTAACTATAAATTAAAGTCTTAGTTGCTGTGACTTAAATTTAACTAAAGTATTTCATCTTAAAATTAATTATACAAATTTTATATAGAACTCAAAGTTTGACTTCAGGCTTCACACAAATTTGTTTTAACATGAACTGTAACTTTACCATTAACCTTTAACTTTTATTTTATTTAACCCTATTTTTATAATTAATTTTCTTTAATCTTAAAAATAAACTTAATTTTGTCCAAAACTTTAAGCTCAAAATTATCTTAATATTATATTAGGAACTAACATTAATCTTAATGTTAACCTTTCAATTTAACTTTTATAGCTCTAGAATTACCTCAAGCTTTGCCCACATTTTTTTTAAATTTAACGTCAACTTTACTTAAACTAAAACTTGATCTCTTAATGTTATTCTAAACATAAATTAAAATTAAAGCTTTTATATTTAAAGTATTTTTTTTACTGATCCAGAGCTCAGTTTTGATAAAGCTTAAGAAGCAAAGTTCACAGTAATATTTTATCTTGAATACATTTAAATTAACGGAAATTAAACGTTTACTTCAATGAATGAAATGAAAATGTTTCAGATCCAGTTACTGCACAAAGGCTATGCAATATATCTAACACTATGCAGCAAAACTGAGAGACTGAGTACAAATAATTTGGAATTACTGTTAATTCAAATAAATTTGTATTTAATATGAAAATCAATTTTATGTCTTAGGCGATGTTATTAAAATAAAAAAAAACCTAAATAAGTAATTGAGCAACAATTTATGTTGCATAGTGTTATCAATTCAGCCTTTGACTGTGACTGCTCTGTGTGCGTGTGTGCGTGTGTGTGTGTGTGCGAATTAGTAAACAAAACGGTTGCTGTTTATTGTTGACTCTGTTTGCTTTTGTTGTTGCTGTTGTAGCTGCTTGTGAATGGGAGGCAAAAGTGCAATTCGTGATATCTGACGTTAAAAGACACGCGAAAAGACACACACACACACACACACTCACACACACATGGACTTAACTCCAAGCCTTGAGTGCATGCGCACTCTCAGATACTTTTGAATTCTTACACATTTTCTAACCATTTTCTTTGGCTCATACTTTTTGTACGCGCTCTTTCTTCACGTTCTCTTGGCCAACTTACCAAACTTGTCAATGAACTTGTCCCATTGCGATTGCCAAAAGTCACCGGAGGCGCCCCAGAAGCTCTGCAAATGCCTGGTCGGCAGGTAAGAAAACTCGTTAAATTTCTCCATGCGATGCACAGTTGCAAAAACAAAAAACAAACAACAAAAAACAAAAAAGAAAATAAAAATAAACGAATTAATCTAAGCTCAGCGAAAGGTTCTGCAGCTGTCACTCAGTCGGCGGCCGCCAAGCAACTGAGCAACCGAATTTGGGGAGAATGGGGAATGGGGAAGCGCAGCTCAGGCCGCACGCACAAAGCGAGACAAAGAGAACGAGAACGAGAACGAGAGCGATAGAAAGAGAAAGACAAGGAAGAAGAGCGCCGTTCTCGCACGCAGCCAAAGCTTTGCATGCACATCACTGATGTCCGTTACCTTTGGCCTTTAAAGCTCACAGAGCTTTCAAGATGCGGTCATAACTGTTGTAAGTCGGCAGAGATCTGTTTGAGAACTTTGTTATAACTGTTGTCAAAATCGTTTGAATTTGTAAAATCGCTAAATTTACTTGTAATTGTTTGCTTTCAAATCATCTAAATTATTTACTAAGCTCATCACTTTAAGGGAATATCATAATATTGCATTGATTTTTGTTTATAATATGGAGTTCTTCGAATTTATCGTAAATAACTCAAGCGAACTTTAGAAAGAAAATCTGAATACTTGTTTTAATTTGGATAAAGTGTCAAGGCACTATATTATTGAAGTTTTATCAAAGTTATCTCTTTTTATCATTAATATAAATGCTTGACTTGGACTTGGATTTGGACACAATATGCTGCTATATAAATAGAAAAAGCTTTTTAATTTTTTTTTCAAATTCACATATATAAAAATATATATAGACAATCGTAAGTCACTCGAAAATTAGACCGTTTTTTCAAAGTATTTCTATTTAGTGGCTTGATTTATTGCCTTACGTTATTTATGCTTGTCATAGGTTATATTTAAAACGATATTTTAAACTATTAAATATGGCCATAGATAAGCAGGATAGATCTTTTATGTAATCTTCATTTAATTTTTGTATGAATTCTTTTATCCTTATTTTTATAAATTTATATTTATGTGATCTTTAGCGCAAACTCTTCAATATAATTTAAGGCTTAGCCCTTTTTAAGATATTTGTTAAGTAGAATATAAAACGTGATACGTTTAAAAAATGTTACCATAACCAATGCAACCAACTAAACATTTTGGAAAACTAACAATTTGCTCGCGATTTATATTTTAGTTTTTCCAATTGATAATTCCTATCTCTAGAGGTTATCATTTGTGAGCGACAACTGTTTACATAAATATACCCTATACCCTTTATGTATATATATATTGAACAGTTGATGCTGCAATTGAGCCAAGCTAAACGTTTTAAAACAATTACATTTATATTATATTAAGCAATTGTAATTTCACGCTTTCTTATCATTTGATCAGTTAACCGTTACGCCTAAAAAGCTCAAAGCTCACAGCGTAGCCAGCAGTGACCAGAGCTTTTGATGTTAATGTTAATGTTAATGTATTTACATAGCTTCACATGCAGAAAGCTGCTACTGATATAAATGTACATCATGTATGTACGCATGTATGTGTGCGTGCATGCATTAGGTTGGCTTACCATGTCAGGACATTGCGAAACAATATAAAAACGGCCAAAGCGCACGTAATGATAAATATAACGCTATGCAATGAGGACAGCCACAGCGGACTGTCCACCTCGTCCGTCCAGTTATGTCCTGCCGCCTGCGCTTGCACGGCGGAGATTGCCTTTGATGGTGTCGTTGTCGTCCCACTAACATCCAGCGACGTGTGGGCGACGGATGTGTTTGACGCCACCTTTGACTCGGCGCTTGCATTGTTACCGCTGTTGCTGCTCGCATTTGGCGGCTTTTGGGCGGGCGCTGCATATGCAGGATTATTGGACATGGCTGTTGTTGCTGTTCCGGATTTGGTTTTACATTCGATCTTAGCAATTGGTTTGGTAAGATTCAGGAAATTGGCCTTCGGTTTGGCTTGGCTGTTCCGCCTTAAATACAGCTGCTCCTGTTTGCTATTGTTGTTGTTTTGTTTGTTGTTTGTTTTGTTATGCTTTTTGTTGTCCTTGACATTTAAAGCACTTCGATTTTTCCGTTGTGATAAGTAGAGTTATGCATTTACATAAATGCTTGGCATTGCAAACATATTACATAGGCAAATGGCCAGCATATGTTGTTAACTATTTGGCTGGCGTTGCAACAATACAGTATTATGCTTGTGCCGCTAAAATCAATGTTTATTTTTTTTGAATTTCTTTTGGTTTGGCCTTTGGCTCAAAGCTCACACTTACACACACACACACACACACACACACACACACACATAAACACACAAACATGCAATAGTGAAATATCAAAGCAACACTGAGCGCAATCGATATACGATAAGCAAATAACAGCTCGCATTTAGCAGTGTGGCAGCGCTAGATGCACAATCAGTGTGACCATGTCCTAAACTTATTTAACCAAAATTGGTGTGCCCCTCGCTGCCACACTGGCGCAAAGCAGTCTTCATTTTGTTTTTGTTGCGCGCGGTTGTGCCTTCGCCTTGTATGTATAGCAGCAGCAGAAACAGCAGCGCCGGTCTGAGCGAGAGAGACTGACGCCCGTGTGCAGTTAGTTGTTGGCATAGAAAATTTTCTTATTTACTTGTTTAAATTTTTTTCTTGTGCTGTGTGTGTGCCTGTGTGAGAATTATTTAAATATACAATAAGCAATACATACAGCGATTGGTTAAAACTAGCTAAAAGCGTAATCAATATACGGATTTACAAATTTACCAAGCAGCATCTTATTTTTTTTTTGTTTTTCGTATATTCTCAAATTTTTATTATATGCTATTTATTTAATACAAACTGTTGTATGTAATTGAGTATGTGTGTGTGTGTGTGTGTGTTGATGTGTGTGAGCGGGCACCGCGCCCAAAATTAATTTAAACATCATAGCCAATTTACAATGAAACAAAATGAGCGCAAATTCAAGTGAACAACAACAATAACGGCAACTCGTAGGACGCCAGGCTGCATCAATCGCAAGAACAACAACAACAACAACAACAACAACTGCAGCTAAAGCAGCAGCGAAAAAATGCTTTAATAAATACGCTTTAGCTTTGTTTATTTGCTCAGTTGGCCGATAAAAAGAAGAAAAAAAAACTTATAAACCCACAACTTACAGTAGAATTCGGAGTCGAAGTCGCAGTCAGATTCAAAAGCTAAGGCAGCAGCTTTGCGCAGTTTGTTCGAAGTTATTATGCTATTTTCACGCTTGCATGTATGTGAATGTGTATGCGAGTGTGTGTGTGTGTGTGTGTGTGTGTTGTAGCACGCATAAATGCATATAAACGTGCGCAGCGCGCTGCTGCCAAAGCCACCGTTTCGACTCGGAGTCGAGTCGAGTAGACTCGAGTTGAGTTGAGTGGGTTGCACTCTCTCTTTCTCTCTTTTGCTCTCTCGCACTCTCTAGCTTACCTGGCGCGTTGGTAAAGTTGTGTGCGTGTTTTTTTTTTTTTTTTTTTTTTAACACTTTTTGTGGTGTCTCATTTTGTCTTTTTGGAAGTTTTGTTTTGCAAGCGACACTTGCTGGCTTGCTGCTCAGTTGTTGTTGTTGTTCTTGGCTCTGGTTATTATTGCTGCTAGCTGTGGTTCAATTTGATAATTGCAGTAAAACCACACTTGGGACGCCCGGCTCACAGGTAAGTGAACATTTTGCAACACTGTTTAATTCAATATTTAATTAGAAAACCATAGACATTCCGCAACACTTTCGCGCTGTCTCCCTCTCTCTATTGCTGCACAAACAACAAGCTTGGGTAGACATTTTCTTGTTGTTGTTGCTGGCTCAAAACAGGTTTTGCTAGAGAAAAAAAAAAGTAGCAGCCGCTGTCAAACACGAAAATAATACAAGCCAACATCAACACACACACATACACACAGCTACAGTTGTAGCTCACATGCACACAATATTAATTCGCGCTCATTGTTTGTCTGCGTATGTGTGTGTCTGTGTGGCTTTGTGAGCGTCCACTAAGGTGGGGCTGCAGCAGCGCAGACTGACGACATCAGCTAGGCAGCGAGATCTGACAGCGCTCTAGAGATCAGCGCTGTCAGCGTCAGCGACAGCGTCAGCGTCGCTGCCGACGCGCAATTGGTATTGCTCGCTGTTGTTTCTTTTGCTGTTTCGCTGTTTATTGTAAAGCACATAACTTTACAATTTTTATCTTGCGTCCACTTCATGTGGTCATCGCAGCAGCAGCAGCAGCAGCGGCGGCCACGAAGCTGACGACGTCATCGTTTCTGCGCACCCGTTACGCCCCAGCGGTGTCAGTAGCTCGCGCTGACGCTGACGCTGACGCCGACGCCGACGCTGACATCGCCACGACCCAAAAATTAGCTAAGCATTTGTTTTATTGAGGGTCACAATCATAACTTGGTCTATAAAAGCTCTTCAATTGTGAATGTACTTACATACATACATACATACGTACATGCATACATACATACATACACACATACATACATACACACATACATACATACATACACACATACATACATACATACATACATACATACATACGTATGCATATAATTAGAGTGATCAGCTTTGGGGTTATGTCAGCTCGATCGATTTACATACGAGCCTATACATAATATATATACACACACACACACACACATATATATATATGTTTGCATATACACATACGTATGCTCATGTATTTCTACACATGAACATGCCAAAATCTTCGGCAAAAGCTGCAAACTCGTTCAAAAAATTCAGTTTGTTTGTCATAAAGTTGGGAGATTTTACAAAAACGTTATGAGACATATCCGAACCCATAAGGTATATAAATGTATGTATGAATATTCTTGACCAGAACGAAAGAAAGAGTTGTTAAATCGTTTATTAAGGCATGTTAAATCTTAAATGAAGATTTTCGTATATCAAATATATATGCTGCCCTTCTTCAAATCGATAACTATCGATGCGAGTTCTAGGCATTCTGAGCCTTTCTCGAAGATTTTTAGAGCTAAAGTACCACATCTGATATGTTAACTTTTGTATAGCACAAATGGATCAAGAATACTTCAGATTTTTTTCTAGAAATTGAAGAGTCAGTAAATTGTAGATGGCTTTATTTTTCGTAATATACACATAATTGAATGCAATGTTTGAGTTTTGAATAATTTGATATAAACAGAAGAAGGGTATCGTCTAGTCGATCTTCAATCTTCATACATTCTCATTTTGATGACATCATCATCTCAGTGGATACATGTCGACCTCTGCGCGGGTAAATTTCGCTTAAAAGATGAAAAGAAATTTACTCGTTTTAGCCGGAAAATGATGTTATAAATAAATTCAAATGAATATATAAATCCGTTACAAGCCTGATATCCATTCAATATATACATATGTATATAGTAGTATTTTCTGCTATTAAATTGGAGTTCCCTATCGATATAGAGGTATGTTAATTGCGTTTGTGTTGTTAAGCTCAGAGCTACCATAATTCCCATTTGAAGGCGCCCCCATTAAGCTTAATTGCGACTTTAATTCCAGAAATTTACTGCGATAGCAGTAGAAATAACGAATCAACACAAATAGAAAGAACTTAAAGTCGATCTTTTGACAGAACATTTCTCCAATTAATGCACATTTAGTGGAAACATAATTTGAATGGTTCATTATTTATTTAACCCACACGCGAAAGAGAGAGAGAGAGAGAGAGACAGCCATTCCAGACTCTTATTAAATTGAGCCGAAGGCGAGCGAGAGAGGAAGAGAGAGAGAGGAGAGTCACGCATGTGGTTGATGGTCATGCTTCGGTTATTTATTGTTGTCATTTGTTATTTGGCATTTGACATTATTTTTTTTTTTTCATTTTTATTAGCTCTGATCTATTTCTATTTCGAATTATTTGACGTGACATCCAAAACAGTAAATATTCCAGAAATTGCAATCGCCATTTTTCTCGTTTTTTACGACTGGTTTCAATTCTCAATTCGAATTTGTGGAGAATAGGAATATTCCCCAGAAGCGAGAATATCCAATCGGATCGTACTACTGTAAAAACCAAAAGAAAAATCAAAATGAGCCCTGAATCTCCACCCGAAGGTATTCCATTTATATAAGCACAAAAGAGCTCAAGAGTGCATCCCAGCTGAATGCAAATTGACATTCTCTCTCGTATATTGCTGGACCTTGTTACTATTTCAAAATTAGCCACACTATATTGCCGGATTTGAACTGGAGATCTCACGCTTGTTAGTTCGACGCTCACAGCTCATCATGATCATGATGTCAGGCTTTAGAAGCTTTAGAAGTCGATGTCTTTCATACAAACCTGGATCACCATATCGTCGCATTATTGAAAATGACGTCTTACTTTCGAGCCAAAAGACTTCGATATAGTTTTGTCGATATCTTTTTTCTCAATTTTTTGGATGCCCTTTTTTTCTTATTCCTTATCACAAATTTTCTGCTTCTTACTTGGCATTGAATGTTTGGTTTTTAATGCTTGAATTGCTTGACTTTATTTCTATATTTTAGAGCAGCTTTTTTTATACCCTGAACCCATTAAAAATGTGTATAAGGGTATATTGTATTTGTGCGAAAGCCAAATGTATGTAACAGGCAGAAGGAAGCATCTCCGACCCCATAAAGTATATATATTCTTGATCAGCATTAATAGCCGAGTCGATCTAGCCATGTCCGTCTGTCCGTCAGTCTGTCCGTTCGTCCGTCCGTCTGTCCGTCCGCCCGTATGTATGAACGTAAAGATCTCAGAACCTATATGAGCTAGAGAAATTTTAGATGTAGATGCTCCTAGTTCCCGCGCAGATCGAGTTTGTTTCCGATAATCGATAACTTACTCCGTTTCCAAGCAATCGATAAAAATCGATATCGATATCCTGTTTTTTGGGCAATTTTGGTAAATAATAAGAGCTAGAGTCACCAAACTTGACATAGAGCTTCTAAAATAGAATATATATATGCATTTGATGTTGGAAGAAGAGGGTTCAGGGTATCCCGTAGTCGGGAGCTCCCGACTAGAACCTCTTACTTGTTTCCTCTATCTTTTACTTTCGGCTGATTTTATGGTTTCTGTTTCTGATGCTGTTGAGTTTATGATATCATCGATGCCGATTCGCTTTCAGCTCCCTTCCTCTCGCTCTTTTAAGATTTATGTGCATATTTATTTTTATTATAATTAAAAGGAAACGCCCAAAACTAAGTCTTTTTTTTTTTTGGTTTTTTACAAAATATTGCTTCTTATTTTAATTGTCATAAGTATATTTAAATTGTTGCGCTCATTTCGATGTGTTTATGTTTGTGAAGCTGTATTTTGTGTAGATACATTTTCATCTGGCGCTGTGTATCTGCGCGATACATTTGTATCTTTCGGCTGTCATGTGAAGCTTATTGCGGCACGCGCGTTCTGTCCCATTCTCTCTCTCTCTCTCTCTCTCTCTCTCTCTCTCTCTGTCTCTCTCTCTCTCTCTCACTCTGTGGTCGTTATTAAATTTGCCAAAACAGCTGGCCACGCATCGAAGATTGCGTCATTTGCTGGCCAACAAGCAGGGCCAGTTGCTCCGACACAACAAAATTT